ACCTCCGCCAGGAGGTTATGTAATCATCTGGGTTTGTTACCTCCGCCAGGAGGTTATGTAATCATCTGGTTACCTCCGCCAGGAGGTTATGTAATCATCTGGGTTTGTATGTGTGTGTGTGTGTGTGTGTGTGTGTGTGTGTGTGTGTGTGTGTGTGTGTGTGTGTGTGTGTGTGTGTGTGTGTGTGTGTGTGTGTGTGTGTGTGTGTGTGTGTGTGTGTGTGTGTGTGTGTGTGTATGTGTGTGTATGTGTGTGTGTATGTGTGTGTGTGTGTGTTTGTCTGTGAGCACGATAACTCAAAAATTACGAAACATATCCGACCGAAATTTTGTGAGTGCATTTCCCATCGGCTAAGGAAGAACTGATTAAAATTTGGTTGAATTTGGTTAAAAATTGAATGAGAAATTACAAAAGTTTGTCTTGCTTTTCCCGGTCAATTAAATAAAACTTATACTGAATGCGTAATTAGGACGTGCATAATATATGCACCAGCCATTCAAATTCTAATAACAATAGATTACTTCAATATTTTGCGCGTAGGCGGAGGTATGCAGTCTCTGAGTGCCCTCTACTTATCTATTGTCTTAGTTGCATTTCACGCGACCGAAATTCAATGTCTAAAACAAGGCTTACGGAGTTACGCATTATTACGTTCAGCAAAGTGCCAGTCCATTCAAATTCTAACAACATTTTAACAACATTAGATTACTTCAATACAGGGTGTATAAAAAAAACGCAATCTCGGAATTACCCAAGAAATCGACATTGTTTTAAAGACAAGAGATTTTAGCTGCCTGGGAAATTAAAATAGCACAACTGTGAAAATTACTGCATGCGCGAGTGCATAAAGCAAAATTTATGTGACACTTAATAAGTTTTTATTTTACAAGTACTGTACAGTACAACAACAGTAATATGTTCTATTAGCAATTCGATTTCAATTCGCGGGGGCCTAAAATCTTTTATGCTTAAGAATTATAAAGTGGATTTCTTAGGAAATTCCAAGGTTGCGTTTCACTTCCGAGTAACGGACGGAGGTATGCAGTCTCTGAGTGCCCTCTAGTTATCTTTTGTCTTAGTTGCCTTTCACACGACCGAAATTCAATGGGGGCGGAGGTATGCAGTCTCTGAGTGCTCTCTAGTTATTATTATTATTATTATTATTATTATTATTATTATTATTATTACGAAATTAGAATATATTTGTAAAGCCCACGATTTTTGAGCAGCCTCCCTTATATAAGTGAGATTAACAATTGTATGAAATCTAGAAAGATTATACCATTGTTTGTATACCTTTACATACCCTGTATACTGGTGCATAAATTATCACACGTCCTAATTACGCATTCAATAAGTTTTTTTAATTGACTGGGAAAAGCAAGACAAAATTTTGTTCATTTCTCGTTCAATTTCTAACCAAATTCAACCAAATTTTAATTAATCAACTCTTCCTTAGCCGATGGGAAATGCATTCAAAAAATTACGTTTGAATATGTTTGGTATTACTTGAGTTATCGTGCTCACAGACAAAACACACATACACACACACACACACACACACACACACACACACACACACACACACACACATACACATACATACACACACATACAAACCCAGATGATTACATAACCTCCTGGCGGAGGTAATTACGCATTCAGTAAGTTTTTTAATTGATCAGGAAAAGCAAGACAAAATTTTGTTCATTTCTCGTTCAATTTTTAACCAAATTCAACCAAATTTTAATCGATTCTTCCTTAGCCGATGAGAAATGCATTCAAAAAAATTTCGTATGAATATGTTTGGTATTTCTTGAGTAATCTTGCTCACAGACAAACACACATACACACATACACATACGCAGATACAAACCCGGATGATTACATAACCTCCTGGCGGAGGTAAAAATAACGTTTACCTCAAAAATTCTTGCAGATATCGCCAGTCCTTTTATAATACTAAGGCCACGGTTGCATTTTCATAGAAAAATTTGAATATTTATACATACTTTTTATTTTTTGAGTGCTTCTGTGTGCAATGCAAATTTGAAGGCCAAAAATCTTCGCAAACACGATGGGAAAATGGCGCGATTTTATTGGTCGAGATATTCACTTTTCGTTGAAAAAACACAGACTTTATTTTTGGAAAAAAACCAACTTTTTTTAGAAATGAACACAAACTTTTTTTGGAAAAAAAAGCGCAAACATTTTTTTGGAAAAAAACACAAACATTTTTTTTGGAAAAAAAAACACAACCTTTTTTGAGAGACAAAAATACAAACTTTTTTTGAGAGCAAAAACAAACTTTTTTGAGATTGCTGGCTCATTCCCGCATTCGCAGTTCGCACCTCGCAAGCTTTACTGCTTTATTAAGATGGGGAATTCACGAGAAGAGCCCGAAAAAGTAAGTTTTCTAAATCATTTTATAATTAATTCAAAGGTCCATTTTATATTTATATTTATTTACATAAATCCATATTGATATGCGCTTGTTTTCTCTTGCAGATATGGAAACACCTTTCACTTGTATAGGCCCTAATATCCAATAGAGTCACACAAACTCCACAACTGCTCCCAGATAGAAATAACTACAGCTGCCATGGCGTAGGAATAATTTTATTGTCACTTTAACATTCCAAGATGTAAAGTCGAACAATATAAAAGCTCATGCGTGCATGTTGAACTCAAGTTTAATTACTACCAGAAATACATACATGCATGCATGCTTTAACATGAAGTATTAGCGAATTCGCCAACAATGAACGCAGGCTCGCGTTTCTGACGACAAAAATAGATTAGGGATGGACCATTATTTTTTTGGAAGGGGAATAGAAAATCCGTAAAAAAATTGTTTGCAAAGACAAAAAAGTGCAAATAGATTGTTTGCACACATAGAGAAGAGGAAAAAAATAGTTTGCAAGCTATTGAGATTATGCAACATCAACCAAGGTTTAATAACAATGAACAGAGTGCTCACCGATATATACCCAGGGTCTTCACCCCAAAATCCCTTGGATGGGAGACGCTGGGCACATGTCGCATATGGGTTAAAAATATTAATCTATTGAATAATCATTTTTTTATTCTTTTTTTTTATAATATATACTCTAGGTATACGTATCTTATTTTACATTTTTTTGTGAGTTTTACTTTAATGTAAAATTTCACCTGAATCGCTTCGTTAAATGTTTTGAAATATTCATTCAAATAAACTGCTTTTGCAGATTAAGTGTTTTAAATTTAACAAAATAAATTAAGTTCAAATTGTAGAGACTGAGTAATTACAGAGTGGTCTTAAAATTCATTTTCTCACACCTTTATATTTTAACAGTTTTTTCTTAAATTGAACACAAGGTAAACTAGAGGGCACTCAGAGACTGCATACCTCCGCCCGTTACTCGGAAGTGAAAGGCAACCTTGGAATTTCCTAAGAAATCCACTTTACAATTCTTAAGCATAAAAGATTTCAGGCCCCCGCGAATTGAAATCGAATTGCTAATAGAACATATTACTGTTGTTGTGCTGTACAGTACTTGTAAAATAAAAACTTATTAAGTGTCATTAAATAAATGCATAAATTTTGCTTTATGCACTCGCGCGTGCAGTAATTTTCACAGTTGTGCTATTTTAAATTCCCAGGCAGCTAAAATCTTTTGTCTTTAAAACAATGTCGATTTCTTGGGAAATTCCGAGGTTGCGTTCTTTTTATACACCCTGTATTGAAGTAATCTAATGTTGTTAGAATTTGAATGGACTGGCACTTTGCTGAACGTAATAATGCGTAACTCCGTAAGCCTTGTTTTAGACATTGAATTTCGGTCGCGTGAAATGCAACTAAGACAATAGATAATGAAGGCCGAAGCTTAATGAGGTTTATCATCTCATTATTGTCTTAGCACTGAGTGCATAAATTATACATGTCCTAATTACGCATTCAGTAATATTTTTTGTTAATTGACCGGGAAAAGCAAGACAAAATTTTGTTCATTTCTCGTTCAATTTTTAACCAAATTCAACCAAATTTTAATCAGTTCTTCCTTAGCCGATGGGAAATGCATTCAAAAAATTTCGTACGGATATGTTTGGTATTTCTTGAGTTATCGTGCTCACAGACAAACACACACACATACACACACACACACATACACACACACACACATACACACACACATACACACACACACACACACACATACAAACCCAGATGATTACATAACCTCCTGGCGGAGGTAACTATGTGAAAGTTACATCTTCATTGAGATGGAAAACAGTGCTTGTTTTACGTAAGGTGTTAATTAAAGCAACATAATTAATAAACATGCAACAGTAATTAAACATTTGAAGCAAACTTGCCTTATATTTCACGACTTCCCATAGTAAATCAGTTATCAGTCTAGTTCCGTCAAACAAAAACTGCTTCAAAGCTGAGCTCATTATATGAAACGATATTTCAAATAGTATGTTTTTGCTGCCAAACAGACATATTTTTGAGATCAGTGGGGTCCACCTATATGAACCATAATTACGCGCCCGCAATTATTGATGACTGGCTTCGCTAATGCTTTCCTTTCCCCGGGTGTAAATAGTCGCGGAACGGCGCTTCACCCCAGCCGCTCGGGATTTGGTATTCAATTCAATCTTTTAGCCCATAACTAGTAACTCTAAATATATCATCATAGCATAATATCTTTGTAATTCTGTCCATGCTGCAAGGAAGCTTTTATTGAACAATATTCAAATTTAGATTAAAAAAATCTTTAAATTGGAATTTCCACCCGGTGATCAAATCAAAATCTGGAAGGGTTAGTCTCCAAATTGTGCACTGATTGTAATCGCCTTCTGTTTGGTGACCCCAACAAACTACCCACTCCAGTAATAATTTGCTTTTAACAATTTTAGAATTTTAATAATTTTTAACTTCCGGTCGACGTGTTTTCAAGAACGTCACTTGCTTAAGCTCACTATTTTGTGCATGGAGCGGGCGAGAAACGAAGAGAAAATTAATGAAACAAGACCAAGTCTGATGTTTAATATCATAAATGTAACTTTTACCGAAAGCCTAACATAATCACCCCTACAAGTTTATCCCGTGTATTATATTATCGATACTGTCAAAAGAAATGTTTTATTCACTGTGTCTTCCTTGGCCAAAAACATCAATGATTCTGTCCATATCATTCTCGAGCCGGGTTCTATTAGTATATGCTCCTTCCATATAGAGAAGAGAAATTCTTGACCCATTGCGGAACGAAGGTACGTACGTCTTCACACTTCGTAACCCACTGAAAGAGTATGTGCTAAAACGTGGACGATGAACGTCCATCGTGAATGAATAAATTTAATGCCACAAATATGATAATAACAAAGAAAAAAGAAAATACATATATGACATTTAGATCTAATGCAGTTTTAGAAAATATTAATGGCAAGGTGACATCCAGAAACCACTAGGCTTGTAAAGTGGATGCCTCCTATTGGACGATGGACAATTTTTATTTAGCCACAGCCGTTTCAACAAATTCAGTGTCCAAATTCAGTCTCCGGCTATCACTTCGTCACTATACTATCAATTTGACACACCTTAATGACCTTACTTACTTACAGAAATTGCGGTGTCCAAGTTCGTCACCGCATTATATTCTGCATGTGAGTTTGTCCGTTTGTTAGTTTGTTAGTGAGTGACTATGGTTTGTCCGTTTCGTAGTTTGTCCGTTGCTAGCTTGTTAGCATCAATACGTTTCCTTAATCGCCTACTAAAAATTCCTTGCACGTGCTCGGAATTTATTAAAAATTACTAGGAGTTACTATCGCAAGGGAAATGCTGCCGATATTTATATGCAGGATGTACTTCAACCAAAAAGTGTCTTTTTCATTGTATGTATGATTTATTGTCTTACAAATTGTCCAATTACCTCGTAAAATCGTGTCTTACATCTCAACTTATAAAAAGTGCACTATCAAGTATAAACTCCGTGGTCACGTGTGCATAAGCGTTCAACGTGGTTTACTTAACTGTAAACTAAAGGTTGTTCAAACAGCAATAATAATTTTGAACTATGTACAAGATCTATACAACATTTGAGTGCTGTTAAACCAGCTTTTGAAGTTTTGTTTGGCCCAGTGACATATTTCAGTACACCAAAATCACCCCACCTTCCATTATGTAAACAGCCCCTAAGACGCCTGTTCAGGAGGTAAGAAAAATGCAATTTGAATATCAAACACCTTGCACAAAGTCAAAGTTCAGATGAATATTCTATTTCTACTTTCTTTGCCATGGGCAATTTTATATACAAATACCTTTAATGCTTATAATTTCTTGCTTTTTATGTATAATTATAATACTGTCAGTGGCGAAGCTGGCCATAGCAACAGGTCATGATTTTTCATATCGTTTTAACGCCATCTTCAAGGCTACGCCTATTACAGAACAACCGAACAATGTAATGATTAAGATTGTACTCAGTCAGAAGTGCAAATATATATATATATATATATATATATATATATATATATATATATATATATATATATATATATATATATATATATATATATATATATATATATATAGTTCTCTTGGAATCTGTGATAAAACATTACATTGGTTTAAATCATATTTTACTGATAAAACTCAACAATGTTATGTTAATGGTTATTTATCTGGTAAAGTGCAGGTCAAAAGTGGAGTTCCCCAAGGTTCAGTTCTAGGTCCTTTATTATTTCTTGTTTACATAAATGATTTGACGACTTCTGTTAATCATGGTACTGCCCGAATGTATCCAGATGATACTAACGTATCATTCTCAGCATGTGTTTTTCTGAACTTCAACGGCAGATGAAAAAAGACCTGGAACATTTAGAATCCTGGCTTTTATAGCCAACAAACTTACTTTAAATAGAGAAAAACTGAATATATGGTTGTTGGTTCAAAACAAAAAATAAATTCACTTGTGGGTGATCTAACACTTTCCCTTAACGATATATCTCTATGTAAAGTTAAGAGTACTAAGTGCTTAGGAGTGACAATAGACGAATTTCTCACATGGGCTGAGCACATAGATAATGTAATTAAAAAATTAGCGATCGGCGTTAGTCTTCTACGTAGAAATAGAAAAGTCTTGAAAAAGTGCGATCTTATGAATGTATATAGAGCTATTGTAGAACCTTATTTTGATTACTGTTGTATAATTTGGGATAGCACCAGTGACTATTTGGCGTTAAAGCTTCAAAAACGTCAAAATCGTGCGGCACGTATTATTACTGAAGCCGACTATTCGCGAAGGTCCAGTGATATATTAAACGAATTAGGATGGGAAAAGTTGAGTGAACGAAGACAAAAATGCAAAGCAGTGATGATGCATAAAATATTGAACCATAAAGCACCATCATGTTTCTTAGGTTTATTTAGACCAGAAACTGGTGCCAATTTTTATGATCTTCGTTCTTCAACAGAGAATGTCGAACTTCCACTAATTCGAACTGAATATTACAAGAGAAGTTTTGTTTACTCCGGCGCAAAAGTGTGGAACTCTCTTCCTGAAGTTTTGAAAAAAGAGTTCATTAAAGCGGTTCAAAGATCTTTTAAAAAATATCCATTTTTCCGCTAATCATTAATTAAATTAATATATATTGCAAACTATAATATACGGCTTACAGGTAGAACAAAACTGTATATGATTTTGATGTAACCACCGTATTGAAATAAAATTTTTAATAATAATAATAATAATAATATATATATATATATATATATATATATATATATATATATATATATATATATATATATATATATATATATATATATATATATATATATATATATATATATATATATATATATATATATATATATATATATATATATATATATACGAGTAGGTTTGTGTATACGAAACGCAAAGAGTGCTCAATATCATAAAGATAGAGCAAATGTAGAATTTCGCTTACCTCAAAATTCCGAAACAGTCTGTTTCATTTCCGCCTGATGATTCTTTACTGATGAAACAGACTGTTGCGGAATTTTGAGGTAAGCGAAATTATATATATGTATATGAAAATTTCAGCGCCTTGATGTATATTACCAGAAATAAATCAAGTCATACTTGCCTTTAAATTTCAGAGAGTTTTCGTAATTTTCATCCAGAAAATATCTTGAGTCGTGATCACATGGAAATTCCACGATGGAATTCGACGTGTAGATGCATGCGCGCATTATACAATATATCTTTCGATGACCCCCTCACATTACAAACGAACTTCAATCCCCGGAAAACCGACATCCAGAATGAGACAAGTTAAGATTGTCGCTAATACATAACTCGCGCGAAAGACTGGATCGAGTGGGCTCGCGGGATAGATATAAAAATAAAATAGAACTTTTTTTTAAGCATGCTAACCATTGTCAACCTAGGCTGATTTCCACAAGGGGCGTGTACAATAATAAAATTACAAAGATATAGTATATAGTAAGATATTACATACATATATGTACTCTAAAAACACTCTGGTTAAATTCAACCAGGAATTGGGTTAATAATCCACCCAACACATTCTGGTTAAATTTAACCCATTTCCTGGTTAAAAATTATCAATTCAACAAAAGTTTGGTGCACTTTTTTGGACTTTTAACCAGGAAAATGGTTAATTTTTTTTAACCAGACTTGTGTAGGTGGATTTTTAACCCCGTACTGGTTGAATTAACCCAAATTTAACCAGAGTGTTTTTAGAGTGTGTATGTATATATATATGCATGTATTCAAAAATGTGGGTAGCGATTTTAGTTTCAAAGGACATGATGGAGTTGCTCTCTCTAATTTCGGTTGGTAAAGAATTCCAAAAGTGTGCCCCGTCAAACATGAAACTTTTTTTCAAGCTATTTGTACGCGGCTGTGGTGAGCAAAGAGTAATTATACTTTCTATATAATTTGTCATTTCACTTTTGAAAGTAAATAAATCAGTAAGTGATTTAGGACCCATTTTATTCAGCAATTTAAACATCAGTTTGGACTTAGCCTTTATTCTTTCCTAAGTGGCTTCCAGTCTAAAGCATCTAAAGCAACCAGATGATCTACATCATTGCTCATATTCATTATGATTCGAGCAGCTCTGTTTTGGAGCTTTTCGGGAGGCATGTTGATTGTGTTTCACCAAACACATCCATACTTATCAGCAATATGAATACACAAAACACATCCCATACTTCACAGCAAGAACAATAGAATTACACACAGACACAAGTGTATCTTTCTCAACAAATTCTTTTATTTGAGGAAAAGCTGATATCCCGGATGTTATTTTCTTGCAAATGTTTTCAGTATTATTCTTCCAAGACAAATACTGGTCAGCAGTCACTCCAAGAGTTTTGCAATCATATACTTGTTTAACTGGTTTGTTTTCTATGACAATGTTTGGTTGTTTATTTGAGACACTTTTTATCATTGGTTTAGATCCAATTAATATAAATTCAGTTTTGGCCACATTTAAACTGACTTAGTTTATTGGCAAGTAACCATTTCCTAAGGTTTTCTAAATCAGAATTCATTGCAGCTTCAACATCATTTATAGATTCTCCCGCAGCTGTTAGGTTTGTATGTTCAGCAAACAGTTGAGATTTGTTTTGCTTAGACACTGAGGCAAGTCATTAATATATAATAAAAAGAATAATTGCCCAAAAATAGAGCCTTGTGGCACACCACACTTAATCAACCGCTCCGACGAAACAGTTCCATTAATTTGGCATTTTTAATTTATTTTAATTAATTTTGGATTTATTATTTTATTTTATGTTTACATGAGATATTTATCAAGTACGATGGAGTCTTTATTATTTAGCATTGTTAATTTTTAATTTCTTCACCTGCATCTTTTACGTTTTCTAATTTTCTGGGCGATAGGCTGTGGCTGATGGGGGGCCCTAACTATCGGGGGCCCTTGAGCGCTACGCCACTGCCCTCTCACTTATAAGCTTTTTGATTTCACTAATAATCCAAGGGATTTTTTTTATCTGATCTTTTTTTGTTGAATGGGTGCATGCTTATTTAGTACTTCCTCAAACAATTATACATATTCCCAATACTGATTAATTAAATCTTCAACAAATTTTTTGTTATCAAAGTTTTTCATATTTTTAATTTCCACTATGTTTTCATCTTGTTTCTTAGAAATATGGATTTTTCTGACCGTAAATACCAAACTATGATCACTGATTTCTGTATGAATGACATCAAAATCTGAGATTTTCTTTGGTGTATTAGTAACTATATGATCAATGAGGCTGGAGGTTGTCATGGTTACCCCAGTAGCTTCCTTAATTAATTGTGACAATTGATATAGTTCATACAGTGATTTTATTTTCTTGGTTGGTGTATCGGATTCTGTTTTAAATTAAGCATGTCACAATTTAAATCACCAAGAATATACATTTCGATCTTTATTTTCATCATTAATCGCTTTGATTAATTTTTCAAAATTTTCAAAAAAGTCATGTGATGAATTTGGTGGTCGATAAATAGTTGTAAACAAAAATGGCCGATTATGTGGCTTACTAATTTCTACACAAACAGCCTCCAACTCAGAGGGAATAAGATCATTTCTTATTTTATAGTTGATTGAGCTACGTAGGTAAGTATATACAAACTACACCCCCATTTCTTGATCTTTTTTTCTAACAATGTCATAACCATAAAGGTCAATCACATTATCAGAAATATTTGAATCAAGTCGAGTCTCACTAAAACCAATCAGGTCAATGTGTTTGTTGGACATTGAGTAACGTATTTCATCAATCTTTTTTGGCAAACTGACAATATTTAGGGGGAACCATCAGTGTACTCTCATCAAATGATCGATTGTTTGCTATGAGTTATCTCTGGTTTTATGCGTCAAACAAGGACAAAAATACCATTGTTCGAATCAGCGTGAAAAATTAGAAAATTAAACGAGACTTACCTGTAAGGTTAAGTTTGATTGAGATTCTACGAGTTATTCGTTAGGAGCGAAGGAGTCACGTGTGAGATAGCGTGGGAAGGATCGAGCGGCAGTCTTTAAAGGGAGTGCGAATGGTCATTGATATTTAGTACCCGCTGTAAACCGGTAGGGCTGGGTAAAACCGTAGGGTGGGTCCGTGACTCCTTCGCTCCTAACCAATAACTCGTAGAATCTCACTCAAACTTCACCTTACAGGTAAGTTTGATTTTCTAATTCTACTTCGTCATTGGTTAGTTCGCAACGGAGTGACGTGTGAGACTTTAAAGTAATGACCATGAGCACTGTAACTTTGCTTTAATAACAACAATATCAACACGATACATGCTTAATCAACCTTAACAATTTCTAAGAGTCTATGACCAAAATTTTCTTTTTGATCACTTTCAATTGGTTTGTCATAAAATTTACTGAATGTTTTCGTGTTCGACCACCCAGGTGCGTCCATAATGGTACTAATTGGCATGTTGCCAACTTTTGCTGCAGATGTAGATGCTGATCTTGTGCTGTGAGCACCAAATACCTTAATGTCTATGCCTGCTTTAGTTAAAGTCTTGTTGATCCACTTGCCAATGGTTTCTGATGAAACTGGTTTATGTGGTTTCTGGTAACTCAAAAGTAGTTGTTTATATGAAAGGACCACCTGTCATCACTCTTAACCATCTGTTCAATGTTCAAGACCTGTATGGTCTGGCAACGCTGTCCAGTAACAAGGGCAAGCAGCATGGTTGTCTTCATAGTCAGATCTTGTAGAGAGAGTTGTGTATTTTCACCCAAAGATTTGAGATATTTTATAACCGCAGACACATCCCAGATGTGTTTATAACGTGGTAGTGCTGGTCTATTTACAAATACTCCTTGCATATATCTGGTTACCAGTGGATGGTTTCTCAAATGTGAAATTGTCTATTGGTTGGACAACGCTGGATAGAGCTGACTGTACCGTGTTTAATGTGCTATAGGATAATCCTTCCTTGTAAAATTCATGTAGAAAATCAATTGCAGTCCCTACATTTGGAGAAATGGGATTGATACTTCGTTCACAACAGTGCTGTTCCCACTTTTGTAAATAGTATTTGCACTGTTTTTGAGACGCCGGTCTCCATGCTTGTACGATGACTGAAGCAGCTTCTTTTGAAATTCCTTGACTTTCAAGTAATCCCCCGATAAGTGGCACATCAGTAATCGCAACTTCTTTTGCAGAGGATGTACAGTATCTTCTGAGGATGGGATGGTAACATCAGTGTTGTTTGTGTGCTAGGCAACATAAGGGGACAATTTATTAACATATTGGTTAGATATGGCCACCAGGACTGGGTCGGCCAGTGTGGAATTACTATTATGCCTGTTGCCTTCTCTTCTGATATTTTTTGTAATACTTGGTTGATAATGTAAAAAGGTGGGAATGCAGAAAAACACATGTTTATCCAAGAGATATGAAAGGCATTTATGGCTTGAGCCTCAGGGTCAAGTCTGAATGCAACATAAGGCTTGCATTTATAGTTTAGCCTTAAGGCAAACAGATCAATACTGGGCGTCACATCCAGTAATTGGATTGCTTGATCATACACTGTTTGGTCTAAGGCCCACTCAATATCATTGGTACCTGTCCTCGATTCAAAATCTGCAATGACATTTTGTTTTCCTGGGATATGTGCTACAGTAATCCAAATGCTATTCGTAATGCAAAAATCCCATATCTCCTTTACCAAGAGATTTATCTCCTTGGAGTGATTAGTCCCCATATGATTTATACAGCAGACTGCTGTTGCGTTATCCGATATGATTTTTACATGCTTTTGACAAATATGATCTGCAAATGATTTTAGACCGAGTAATATGGCTTTAACTTCCAGCCAGTTAATGTGTTCCTCCGATTCTCCAGAGTCCCATGAGCCACCTGTAGGTGTGCCAGCTAGGGAGCAACCCCAACCCGTTATTGAGGCATCTGTGGTCATGGTTGTGTCATCTTTCCCGTGATTAACCACATTGTATGCACTTTCAATTGAGCTTATACCCACCAGCTCAGCTCGTGCTTAGCCTCATCTGAAAGAGTCATGGTCTTATTATAATTGCCTTTTATTATTTTCAGGGCCACAGTTTTATCCATATCTAAGTGCCTATAATGTAATGGCCCAAACATTACTCCTGGGAAGCTAGCTGTTAACATGCCAATGACTCTAGCCACTTCCCGTATTGTAGGTTGAGGAGATTGTAGAAGCTTTTGACAAGCTTCCTTAATTTTTTGTGTTTTTTTTTCTTCTGTAAGGCTGATAATCATTTTTATGGAGTCTAACAGAAAACCTAGGAATACAAGTTTCTGAGTAGGGTGTAGGATTGATTTCTCAGGGTGTATAACAAGGCGCACTTGGTCAAGTAATGTAATAGTATCTTTCACATTTTTAACACACAGATTAAAGTTGGCACCTTGTAAATAAGAGTCATCTATGAATATTACAGATAGATGACCTATGCTTCTCAAGTTTGAGAAGACAGGTTTAAGGAGTTTTGTGAACTTCCTAGGGCAAATTGCCAATCCATTTGGGAAACATGTATACTGATATACAGGGTGTATCAATAAAAACGGAGTCCTCACATAAAGTGTAAATTTCAAAGCGAATATGAAAGTTAGACATTTATACTTGCATTCGTTCGAAATGGCGATCTTTCGGCTATTTTATGTACTTTATTTTATAAAATGTGGAGTTATTGCTGGCGAGTTGTGTCAATTTAAGTCAGTGCAGTTGGAAATTTAAAAAACGTAGATGTGTTGAATTCATAATTGATTTAAACGTTCCAAAAAATAAGTTGGAAGTACACATTTACTCAACGTGGCCTTCATTTCTAAGTTTACACAAGTTCGTTCTTTGTCTCATATCCAAGACAAGTCTTCTTCCTCCCGAATTTCCTTTATTTCGATTTAAATTTTATGGGGTGGTTCTTCCATTCAATGCATATGCAGCCGGTATTTGTTGACATTACCCCAAACGCTCGATGAAGATTACGTCCTGGAAAAGCTATTTGAAATTGTCTTAACACTGCAACAACGCTCTTTGTTTCGAAATACTTTTCAACAATGAATGTTCTTTCCGGAATTGTTAGCTTTGGCATTATGAATGGTGATTGTAAAGTTTTAAACAACAACGTTCTAAATTTTAGCGAACTACCTTTAATTAAGTCCCCAAGGGACTTCGAAGATTAATATTTCGAAGCATCTAAAAACTAGCGCTTGTACTAAATTATTTTTATTGCGATTAGCCTTCGTTCAAAAATTTCAAGAAACCCTTCATTCGAAAGATGAAAAAACAAGCTTTAAATTGAGCCCAAAACGAAACTATGGTAGTTTATTTTACGATAGAAATAAGGATATTTAGGACGACTCCGTTTTTTTCTGATACACCCTGTAGTTTCCCTCTCCATTGAAATTTCAGGTATTTTTGATGGTCTTTGTGAATCGGGAAAGAGCAGTATGCGTCCTTAAGATCAATGGATACCATAAAGCATCCCGGACGCATCATACGTATAGCAGTCCAGACTGTGTCCATTTTAAAATGTTGGTATGTAACAGATTGGTTTAAACATTTTAGGTTTAAAATCATGCAATGTGATCCATCCTTTTTAGGTCGAAGGAATATGGGTGAAATGTATTCATTAGGCTCCTGTGTAGATTCTACAATGACATCTTTTTTCAACAAGTTTGGATTTCAGAATCAATAAACTGTCCTTGTTGACATGAGTAATTTGGCTGTACAGGTAAATTTAATTGTACTGGGTTCTGGTTAAACTGTATGCGCTGACCAGACACTGTCTCCAGAATTTCTGGATCAGATGTCAATTCTTTCCAAGCAAAATGAGAAGTACTAAGTTGGCCTGCCTTAAAGTATTCCTGTTCAAAGTATTTAATAAGCGATGGCACGAGAGACTCGTATTCGCTTACCTATATTTGTGAAAGTTTTTGAATTGCTTCTGAGTCTATTTCTTCATTGGCCCGAAACGAGCTCGGTTCTGATCACGGTTCTGACCACGCCTGTTGTTGTTCTCCAGTCGTCTGTACGACTGGGCTCCTCGCAATAAAAAAGGAGGCTGTTTGTTGCCATAATTGCTCGTACTTGGCTTATAAATCCGGCGTTGACTCGGCGCGTGTGATGATGAATTTGTTGTATTTCCAATTTTGTTTGTTGCCCGAACACGGGTCAATTCTGTCTGGAGGTCGTCTCCAAACAGTAGGCTTGTCACAGGAACTTCTTGTGAGCATAGCTCAATATAATCCCTGTGAAGGTGAGGTCTGATGATTTCGCGCCTTCTTTGACCTAGCTCATGGCTAGCATGACTGACCAGAGCAACAGCATCTGTGTTCATTCGCACTAGGGCATCAATTTTTAGACTTTTTGGGTCAGATTTTGCTTTCAACAGCATATCTGTAGCTTGCACTACTGTACATGCAAGGTTAGTGACTGTGCTAAGCTGCAGGGTTTGTACACGAAAGAGCTTGTGATCCTCGCAACAGCCCTTGTTAATTTAGCCCATATTTCAGGGTTTACGCGTGGGCTCACAACTTTGTCGCAGTTCGCTGGTCGCGGGTATTTTTCGGCCTTTTCTTTTAGCTGGTCGTCACTTAATTTATGATTCCAGCGTTTGTTAGCAATCAGTGCGAGTTTGTCTAAGACGGGGTCGCCCGTTCGCTCAGTTTCGTCAAGTGACTGCGCTATTTCGTCCAGCAAGGGATCGTCTACGTCCGCCATGTTGAGGGTTTGTTGTTCGTCCTCGTTCGAATTGTTCTCATCATTGCCATTGGCATTGTGATGTCGTCCCTGCTCCGCGTCTCCCAGCAATGCTTCACTGTCCGATTCGTTGTCTGATACAGACTCAGACAGTGAGCGAATTTTAGCTTTTTTGGCAGATACTGCCGTGTTTGTGCTTGGTTGATCAGAGACAAAGCTCTCATGTTTTCGTTTATTTAGCGATACGTCTAGTGCACAAATATTATCATTCATTTTGGATAACAATTCCATAAATCGTTCGTTCGTAGACAGGTCCTCGTCACTCTGATGTTGTTCTTCTTCTATAAGTAGTTCTTTCTCCATATCCGAAGTGTCTTCTGCCATTTTTATTCAATTTTTAAGCGGAAATTTTTTGTTGTTGACGTTCGCTCGAAGAATCCTTTGCACTGACTGCCGCTCGATCCTTCCCGCGCTATCTCACACGTGACTCCGTAGCGAACTAACCAATGACGAAGTAGAATTGTATTTGCGGATGGAAAATCGATTTCAAGAAAGATAAGCCGCTCAAAATAATCCTTCACGTTTTCCTAATTCCTTTTTGCGAGGAAAGTTTTCTTTTCTATTTCAATCTCGGACTCTCACGATTGACGTTTTGCTGCGCCTTACTGCTGTTTGCAATCTACCATTAGGCGTACGAATTTTTTCATGTTTGTTTACGTTTCAAACGTTCAGGTTTTGACCGGAAAACGTTAACGTTTTGAGCAGTGGCGTAACGCACATAGGGTAGGGTTAGGGCAATAACTAAGGGCCCCCGACTGTTAGGGGGGCCCTAGGGGCCCCCACCAAATTTAGATTAATACGGTCATGGTTTAGATTAATGCGGTTATACGGTACTACAATAAATAAACATCGACAGCGGCAATAAACATCGACAGTGGCAACTGACATTTTATCTCAAATAAAACAAAAGTTATTCTTATTAGTTATTATATGAAGTACGGCCATGATGGCTGGAAAGCGAAAGTACAAATCTGGGGCACAAAAGAGAGCCGAAAAAATGAAAAAAAACAGAGAGTTCTTTATCAAATACAAGTTGCATATCAACATTTCTTCAAATGAAAGATAATGTCGACAATAATGAAGACCCCACGTCCACGTCTACGAAGACCCCACGTCGATTCCTTTTTTGACAACGCCGAAAAAGATTTTAGTTCCTCTATTTGCCCTGAGTCCAATCATGGTGTTACTGGTGACAAGGACAAAAACTCCACTCCCTTGAAACTTTCCTGTTTTACTTCAGAAGCAAAGTTGGATAAAAATAAAGATCTGGTGTTTGATACGACAAGAAAGTTCCCAACCGACCGTGGTCATTTTAAGGAAAACATAACAGATTGTGATTTGTAAATACTGGGTATGCATCACGAGTCATGCAGACCGACAGGACCCTTCGAATATGAAGATGAGGAAGGGAATTCAATGGTGAATTTCAGTGCCAGATACTACAATAATTATATTGATAATATGTCAATACAAAGACTTTGGTTATGCTATTCAATGGAACTGCAAAAACTTTATTGCGAAGTTTGTTGGTTGTTTGCTGATCGTGCATCACCAAATTATGAAAATCATAGAGGATGGATAAATGGTGTATCTCGTAGCTTGCATAATATGCTTGAAAAAATTAACAGGCGCGAAGCTTGCAATATGTATATTCAGGCAAGTACAGTCTATATGAGAAGGAAATCTGGCAAGACGACTGTGGATGAATATAATGAGAAAGGAATCAGAAACAATACTCTCTTCTGGGTTAAAGTTCTTGACCGAATCATAACAATAATTTCGACTCTTGCCACGCTAACTTTGGCATTTAGAGGTCACAACGAGTACGTTCGTGATAACATTTGTGAAGGTGGAAACTTTCTTGGTATGGTATATCTGATGGCTCAGTACGACGAGATTCTTGCAAAAGTTATCTCACTTCCCGCCCGTGCAACAAAGTATCTTAGCCCAAAAATTCAAAACGAGTTAATAGAAATTCTAGCAAAAACAGTCACAGTTTCTTTGGTTCACAAGATCAATGATTCGCCATTTTGGGCTCCCATTTTAGATTGTACTAGCGATATAACTAGAATTGATCAATTAAGGTGGCTCGCTACAGTTTATAGAAATGTTGAAAATGCATAAACTAGATCACCTTTTTGAAGAGATGATGCTCTTTACAAATCGAAATTTGTATATTATATATACAGCGACAATCAAACAGTCGAAAATTGGTCAGAAAAGTGACGTCACCACTGTTGCTATGGCAGCAATGATGATTCAAGATGGCCGATATTTTGGCTTTGAACGCATTTTACTTTAAAAAAGGTCGGTTACCCCATTTTTTATTTCAGAAAACATTTTCTTATAGTGCAATGCACTATCTGACCAATTTAAAAAAATTCTGTAATGCCAAATATTTTAAAAATTTATAAACATGGTTTTTCGAACTATTTTTTTTTTGCATTACAGAATTTTTTTAAAATTGGTCAGATAGTGCATTGCACTATAAGAAAATGTTTTCTGAAATAAAAAATGGGGTAACCGACCTTTTTTAAAGTAAAATGCGTTCAAAACCAAAATATCGGCCATCTTGAATCGTCATTGTTGCCATAGCAACAGTGGTGACGTCACTTTTCTGACCAATTTTCGACTGTTTGATTGTCGCTGTATATATAATATACAAATTTCGATTTGTAAAGAGCATCATCTCTTCAAAAAAGTGATCTCGTTTACGCATTTTCAACATTTCTATAAACTGTAGCGAGCCACCTTAAGCGTTATAATGCAGCGGGTCCAGATAGATGGGGACAAATGCAGTATTGAAGAAAACTTCTTGGGTTTTGTAAAATTAGATGATGCAACGGCGAATGCAATAGTATCAACCACAAAGGCGCTTCTGCAAAGTCTTTGTATTAACTTTTCAAAAATACGTGGACAAGGGTATGACGGCGCAAGCGATTAGAGTGGTATTCATGCTGGCGTGCAAACGTTGATTAAAAGTATGGTTACTGCCCCAGTTCCTTTCGTTCATTGCGCCAGCCATAATTTGAACCTGGTAATCAACGATGCTGTCAATTCAGTTGTAGAAAATGAGAATTTCTTTGGACTATTAAGGGAACTATTTAGCTTTTTCGCACCTTCGTTAAACAGATGGAGAGAACTCGGTCTTGAAGCTGAAAAAGGATCTCTTACGCTCAAGAAATTATGTACAACGCGATGAAGTTCGCGAATTGATGCTGTACGGGCTGTTCGTGACAGGTACCCACATATCATGAGAGTATTAACACGGTTGTCTTTAACATCTACTAATAAAGCAGAAAGAGAAGATGTAAAACAATTGAAAAACAAAATAGATAAACTCGAATTTGTTATATTTATCGTTATGTGGGAGACAGTTTTGCGAGCAATCAACAGCGCTTCAAAAGAGTTGCAGTCGCAAAAGATTGATTGATGAAGCAAGGCTTTTAAACTTTGCATTGTCGGAACTCGTGATCTTAAGAAGTTCTTGGAACTCAATTCTTTTAACTGCGACAGCATTAGCCCAGTTCTGGAGTTCATCTGTAACGTTTGAGAACAAGAGGAATCGCAAAACAAAACGGTTTTATGATGAGCTTTCTACTCATCAAAGATTAACTGATCCTGAAGAAGCTTTCAAAGTCAACGTATTTTACAAACGGTTGACAATGCCATTGTGCAACTCAAACCGAACGGTTTGAAGGTCAGAAAATGGTCACCAGTCTATTCAGTTGCATTCATCCACAAAACATGTCTCAGTTAATGTCACCTCAGCTTGAAACTGTTCCAGAAGCAATTGTAGAAGAATATCCAACTGATTTTACAGAAGAACTTGTGTCTGAATTTCGATCTTTTGTCAACGAATTCAGAAAGGAAATCGCAGAGCGACAATCTGTTACGGATATAATTCGTTTAATGCTTGAAAGCCGTGTCAGTTCCTCTTTCTCGCAAGTGTATAAACTCCTCATCCTATTTGCAACGATTCCTGTTACAGTTGCAACAGCAGAACGCTCTTTCTCTAAACTGAAGCTGATAAAGCATATCTCAAGTATAAAATATCCCAAGAAAGGCTTTCAGGTTTAGCGATACTTTCCATCGAAAATAAAGAACCGAAAGTTGTTGACAAGAACGAGCTGATCCACCGATTCGCCATTGCAAATGCGAGAAGGAAGGAACAAATAGGTGTTTAAGTTTTACAGTTTACGTAATTAAACTTAATTTATTAAACATTTTGACATTGGCATTGTCCAGTTTTAGTAAAAATAGATTATATAGTGTATAGATTATATATTATAGAGAATATTTAATATATATATATATATATATATATATATATATATATATATATATATATATATATATATATATATATATATATATATATATATAGCATTACAGAGGTTCTAGATTTAAAAAATTTTCGGGGCAGCATGCCCCGGACCGACCCCCCTAGGAAGGTCGCGCCGTGAGACACGAACGGTGCATTTCGTCACTAACGATGTATGACAAAAGGGCCTCCGACACAAATATGCCTAAGGGCCCCGTGTTCCTCCGTTACGCTACTGGTTTTGAGCAAGCCAATCAACGTTTGGCGGTGTGTTCAATTAGATTTTGCTAAGATCGTGGCAAACGTTGATTGGCTTTGCTCAAAACGTTAAAGTTTTCCGGTCAAAACCTGAACGTTTAAAACGTAAACAAGCATGAAAAAAATCGTACTTATCTCTGGTTTTATGCGCCCAATAAGAACAAAAATACCACCGTTCGATTTAGCGTACGAAATTGTTCTTACGGATCTCAAATTTATTTCTAAACAACGGAATTCTAGCGATTTATGGCCTTTGAAATCAAGCGTGATTGCCGTATACCAGTGGATTCGACTCATTTTTCTCGTCATTTTGACAGTATTTTGAGCCCAAATTACTTTATTTTGAAGGTTTTAAAGAACAGTTTTAATAAGCAAAATTGTATTGTTGACAAATCGCTCAAAATTATTAAACTAATTAAAAATGCAGTACGTTTGATAAAACATTGGTATCGTTGGTTTTCTCTTTTCGGCCGTATACCAATATATTTATCTCAGTTTTCTCTTCATTTTGACAGTATTTCATGCGGTAAAACTGTAGTATTTTAACCTTAAAACCCAACTATGCTAAGTAAAACTCCCTTGTTAATACAGCTGTCTAGTTCTCCTCGAGGTGCCTGTTTTTTCCCGCCGGAAGTGCTAACTCCCGGATGTTACACTCCTTTTTTCCTGGATTAAAACCAGAGTCCCTGCAACATAACATCTAAACTAATAATGTCAACACTATAACCTAACAGTTTATAATCCCTTAGCGTTTTATACTCTAAAATTAATGTAATTACTCACGAATAATAGTCCTGTGTCTGTCTGTCTCTTTGCCGATATCGGGCTGCTGGAACTGCATTTTCTTCGCTAACCACTTGTTGGTCTGGAACGGGTTGCTGGTTGATATCTGGATCCATGACGTCATTTTCGTTTTCTTCGGGTGTTTCTCTATGGATCACCTGATCTTGGTGGCGATGAACCTCGCGGTCATCTTCCAACTGTATGGTATAGGAAACTGGAACGGTTTGTGTATTGATCACTCCTGGACACCACTTTTGTTGTTTTCCATATTCTCTCGAATATACTAAATCACCTGGTCGTAATTGTTGATCCACTGCATGTTGATCGCGTAACTCTTTCTGCTTCTTCTGTTGGTCCTGTACTCTTTGTCTTACATCTGGATGTAGTACGTCCAAGCGAGATCTTGGTGTTCTGCTCATAAGCATTTCCGCTGGCGCTATCCCTGTGGTTGAGTGTGGCATGATACGGTATTTGAAGAGAAACCGAGACACTCTAGTTTCCAAACATTCCTTATTTGACATCTTCTTCATCCCTTCCTTAAATGTCTGGACCGCCCGTTCTGCAAGTCCATTGGAGGCTGGATGATAAGGAGCAGTCCGTCTGTGATGAATGCCGTTTTTCGCCAGAAATTCTTCGAATTCTTCACTGCAAAAATTACTACCGTTATCACTAACAATTGTTTTAGGAAGGCCGTGGATTGCAAATATTGATCGAAGTTTTTCAATTGTTGCTCTCGATGTTGCCACATTCGTTGGATGCACTTCCAGCCATTTTGAGTACCCATCGACCATGATGAGGAACATTTTCCCCAAGAATGGACCATCATAGTCAATATGAATTCTTTCCCATGGTCGGCTTGGCCATTGCCACGGGTGCAGTGGCGCTTCAGGAGGATTCTTTCTATTTATCTGGCAGTTGTTGCACGTTCGTACTTTGTTTTCCAAATTGTTATCCATGTTTGACCACCACACGTAGCTTCTTGCTAGACTTTTCATCTTACATATTCCTGGGTGAGTTTCATGTAATTCGTCAACCACTTGCCTTCTGTTTCCCCAAAGTATACAGTCGTCTTGAACACTCAGCTCGTCTCGTCGTTGAAAATATGGTTGAAACTCCCCATCTGGACACTTGCTAGGCCAACCTTGTTTAATAAATTTCAAAACTCTAGCAAGTATAGGAGTTCTCTTTGTCCAGTTCTTCACTTGCTCTGCTCACATTGGAGTAGTCTCCAATAGTTCCATGAGTAAGATTGTTTCTTCAGGAACTGGTGTTGAACCTGGGCTGTCTGGCAATGGTAATCTACTGAAGGTATTTTGTACTGAATGGCGTAGTCATACGCAGACAAAATTAAGGCCCACCGCTGAATTCGAGCTGCAGCCATTGGTGGTGTCATTTTATCCGGATGAAGTACCCGCTCAAGCGGCTTGTGATCTGTCAGTATGGTGAAATGTCGACCATACACGTATTGGTAAAATTTCTTGACACCAAATACGATGGCTAGCGCCTCTTTGTCTAGTTGAGAATAGTTTTTTCAGCTGCAGACAGTGATCTCGAGGCAAATGCAATTGGTTGTTCTGTGTTGTCATCCATCCGGTGTGACAAAACAGCCCCCAAGCCATATGGTGAGGCATCGCAAGCCAGTATTAACTCCTTCTCCGGGTCATAATGCACCAATAGATGTGAGGACTTCAATAACTCTTTGGATTTTCTAAATGCCTCTTGGTGCTCTTCACTCCATTTCCAACTTTTCCCTTTTTCCAACAGGCTGTGCAGTACGTGGTGCCAGAATCGTTGATAAATTTGGTAAATACTTTTGGTAATAGTTGATCATTCCCAAGTATGATCGAACTTCAGACACATTTGTCGGTGCCGGTGCATTGGTGATGGTTCTGACTTTCTCTTGGATTGGTTGTATTCCTTGGCTATTTATCTTCTGGCCTAAATACACCACCTCGTTCACCATGAAGGCACACTTCTTCTTCTTTAGGCGTAACCCATGCTCTGACAACCGTTTTAGAACTTCTTCTAAATTTGCTAAATGTTCCTCATCATTCGAACCAGAGACCAAAATATCATCCACTCGCACAACCACGAAAGGAATCCCCTGCAGTAGGTTTTCCATAGTACGCTGGAAAATCCTAGGGAACGAGGACACTCCATATGGCAATCGATTGTACTGAAAAAGTCCTTTGTGTGTGTGTTGATGGTAGTATATTGTCTTGATTCATCCTCCAATAAGATTTGTTGATAGGCTTGACTCATATCGAGCTTGGTGAATTTCTCTCCACCACTTAAAGTCGCAAAAAGATCTTCTGCCTTGGGAATCGGGTAATTGTCTAACTTTGCAGCTTGGTTGACAGTTACTTTATAATCCCCACAAATTCTTATCGACTTATCATCCTTAACGATTGGTACTATTGGCGCTGCCCAATCTGCAAACAGGACAAGCTCTATAGTTCCCTCTTCTTGCAATCTTTCTAACTCCTTTTCTACTTTTTCCCTCAAATCATAGGGAACAGGTCTTGCCTTGTAATACTTTGGACTTGCATCCTCAGCCACATATATTTTGGCTTTGGGACCAGGAAATGTTCCTAACTCTTCATGAAACACTTTCTCATACTTCTCAAGTAACTTATTAACTTTGACTGAGGTATTCTTGTCCTCTTTTAACTGAAATAAATTCTTCCAATTTATTTTAATCTTTTGGAGCCAATTTCTGCCAATCAAGTTAGGGCCCTTCCCCGTTATGACTAGTAAAGGCCATACGCCTTCTTGATCTTCATACTTCACCGAAGTCTCCAACTGACCCAAAACTTTAACTTGCTCTCCCGTATAGGTATTTAGTCTTACCTTTGATTCCTTCAGCTCTAGGTTTGGGTGTTTTTTCTTCAATAATGTATATGTATCCTCATTCATTACACTAACTGCAGCACCAGTATCTACTTCCATCTTTAGACTTTCATTGCTCACCAGTACATCAACAACATATGGCTCAGCTTGCCCTTTGCCCAGACTATAAATCCCATAGTTGTCGTCTTCCTCTTCGATCTCGTCATCCTTCATGTTTAAATAGTTGCTGCTAGTGCCTGAGTTAGGGTTGTCGTTTCGTTGATTTTTTCCAGTCGCCTTAGTGTTGCTTCGACATTTTCTTGCTATGTGTCCTTTCTTGTGGCACAGGAAACACTCAGCATCGCGAAATTTGCATTGTTGCGGGTCATGTTTACCCCCACACCGACCACATTCAGGCTTTGACCATGGTTGGTTTCCTTGTCCTTGGTTGTCCACACGGTGTAATGTTGCAGGTTTCTCAGTATTTATATTTGCATTGGCCATCTGATGTGTCAAATCTCGTGCATTCTTTACTGCAGTCTCCATTGATGTAGCTATTTTCATGGCTTTCTTAAAGTCGAGAGAACTTTCTGCTAACAATCTACGCTGAATCTGTTCGTCATTTATTCCACACACCAACCGATCACGTAACATCTCTTCTAAGGTACTCTTGAAATCACAATGTTCTGAAAGACTTCTTAATTCAGCTACATACGAAGCAATTGACTCACCAGGTTTCCTGAACCGAGTATTAAACGTGAATCGTTGCACCGACGGTTTTGGGTGTTGATGTTGTTGTACAAGTTCTACTACCTCTGCAAACGTCTTCTCTGACGGTTTATTCGGCGTGATTAAGTTCCGAATCAACTTATACGTCTTGCTACCACAAACACTCAATAATATCGCTTGTTGTTTATCACAGAATAAAGACATACAGAAGTGTATCTTCTTATTAAATGCGCGTAAGGGATTTTTTCAGTCCGCCATGTTCTTAGCAAGTGCCCTAAAAAGAGGCAGTCTCCCCCCTGAAAACATATTGAAAATTTAATATTCCAGGGGGGTGAATGCCTCTCTTTAGGGCACTTGCTAAGAACATGCATGGCCGCCAGCTATTTCGGTAAAAAGCGCCTTACGGTTTCGTAATGGAAGTTACACTTCTGTATGTCTTTATTCTGTGTGTTTATCTAGCTTCGTCGTCCACGCCATTTGCTTCGAAATAAAATTCCAACCGCTCAATATACTGACTCCATTCCTCTTGTGAGTCATATTCTTTCAGTTTTCCATGAGTTGCCATTTTATCTCGTCGCCAAATGTATAGTATTTTAACCTTAAAACCCAACTATGCTAAGTAAAACTCCCTTGTTAATACAGCTGTCTAGTTCTCCTCGAGGTGCCTGTTTTTTCCCGCCGGAAGTGCTAACTCCCGGATGTTACAAAAACCTGGACGATGGACGTCCATCGTCCATCGTCCAATAAAACCTGGACGCGACCATCGTTCATCGTCCAGGTTTTAGCACATGCCCACTGAAAGATCTTTCTGCAGAACATATTACCTCATATCACCTTTGGATCGCACCAAAAAATTAAAACGAGATTTAGGATATTAAGGATATTCGAATTTGATAAGTGGAAGCACAATGCGCGGGTATGATTTGATTTTGTCAGCACTTGTGGTGAAAACTGAATATAATCTATACCTTTTGCAAAAATATTAACTCTTTTGAAGAGAAAAATGATGTGATTATAGACTAGTGTTATTCTGAAAAGAAGTGTAAATTACTTGGAATGATTTGAGGTGAAGAAGACCGCGGTACGAAACTGTTAAAGTGTGATTCAAGGAATGCTCATGCTGTCGTATAAATTTCCGAGGTATAAATTTCAAAATTTGCGTCGATAGAGCTGCGATTCCCTGCGAATATTGTTTATTTCTCTTTCTGAAAGGTATACGATTTTGCTTTTGTAGGGATTTGACTCTTCAAGTATATCAGTTTAGAGATATATTTGTCGGATAGGTATTGTTTATGTATCGATCAATTCGAAACTTCAACATGCCCCCCCCCGGGCCGACCCCGGGAATTTGAACTTTTTGAAATTTGACTGATTAAATTCTCCACCCCCTGTGCCAAAAATGTTTTCAAATGCCCCCACTTAAGCATTCAAATTCCCCACCTTC